AATAAAACTTAATGAACAAACAAACCCCCCACCCCCAACTTTTCAAATACAGGGGTTTTCAGGTCAGATTTTAATGACCCTGTGAACAGCACAAACTGCTTTTAGGAAAAAAGAATAAGACATTGTGCTTAGAATTAACAACAAAAGCGGATGCTGGATCATAAAAAGATTCAGGTTCTACTATAATTGCAGTTGTAATGGATCAACTTTAGTTGCATCATACTATTATCCTTCCCTTTTTATTACAGAAAAAATCTGCATGGTCTCAAAAGGTGTGCTATGGAAGCACAACAGGAGGAGAGGCTAATGGGAGTGGGAAGACATTGACAATAGTACTATGTTGCAATAAGTAAAGGAAATTAGGGAAAATGCAGAATACTTTAAAAGCGGTGTCTCCGTTTTGCTGTTCAAAACTGTGGAGAAGAAAAAATTCAAACAAAGCTACATGGAAGACAGTAAGCAAAGGGCTTACAGCTTCATTTCAAGACAAATATTTCAACTGTTTAGCTTAAATAGTAAGAAGAGTACATGCAATTCATAATGGGCTCTTACAGCTGACATTTTAATCTTTAGATTGGAAACTAGGCACCTCTACAGATAGGTGTCAAGTACATAATCCATCAGGAGTTGAACATGTACTAAATCTGTGAAATAAGAAATTTATCTATCACACTCCCCACTATATCTCCTCACTTTTTTGTCTTCAAGTCATTCTCAAAGAACAGATGTGTGCTTAAACTCTTGGTTAATACTGGGAAAGCACAAATCAGCAACTAGCTTGGGGTTCTGACAAGTCTAGGAAAACATGCTATAAACTAGTCAGAGAGACTTTGATGGAATCATTTCCACTGAAAGCAAAGTGTTTCACAAACTTGGGCTGATTGCACTGGATTTTTTTTTTTTTTTGGTTAGGAAAAAAAAAAGAACAGGGAGAAAAAATATTCTGATACTACTGAAACATCCGTCTTTGGACACGGTCAGAACAAATGTTTTGAAATGACCATTTTGAAATATTGAAATTTGTGTTCTCGTCTACTAGAAACACCAGCACAAAGAAAGAAATGAAATAGAAACAGTGTCATTGTGAAGATTAAACACCTTGAATGCCCTGAAATACAGATCTGGGGAAGAGAGGAAGATTCAGAGTTTCCTTTTGGGAATCTGATTTCTTAGTCAACTGGGTTGTGAAGACAAGTTTGTAATTTCAATTCATCTCAGAAATTGAATCTTTTGCCAATGCAAAGCTCTCCTACATACCCAAGAATGGAGGACAGATTAGAAACCACAACTCTATTTAGCAGTTTATACTGTTCACTAGAAGTGCAGTTGCACCAGGTATCTTCATGATGCTGAAGATTTGCTTTATGCTTCAGGTTCAGTCAGGGAAGGGAGCATTTAATGCAGCTCATTTCAAAGCAGAAAATGCATTTTAACTATACAATACCAAGTCACTAAAAGGCTCTGATCTGCAAACATTTGCTCAAAACACGTGTTAAAGCAGCAGTTCCCAATCTGTGGTAGGGGTACCACCAGTGGTACCACCAGTGGTACACAGACAACCTGTCAGTGGTACCCACTAACAATTTATTATAATTACTTTATATGACAAAAATTTGCTGGTGGTACTTAAGGTTGTATCATTTTAAATTGGTGGCGTGCAATCTGTCAGAGTTTGGGAACTTCTGTGTTAAAGTATACACACATCAGTCAAAAGATATCACCTCTACCACAAGAGTTATAGTCTAACTAGATATCTAGTTGGTCTAATAAAAGATATCGCCTCTACAGTTGGGACTGTTTTTGCCTTTAGACTAACATGGCTAGAACTTATACCCCCTACACACATCAATGTAATTTACAAAGATCTAATGTAGTTACCTCAGGAAACAGGAACAGCAATAAAAATAAATTATGTGAACTAAAATGGCATTGGTGTTGTACGTCTGCTCTTATCCCAGGGTAGCCATTTGATCAATACACACAGCCAACTACTTGCACTACCACCACGTGGCAGTGGGGTATTATACTAGCAGTATTGCAGTAGTTACCCCAGGATAGCCATTTGTCTGCTTTGGATCCCAGTAACTTACCTACGCTTAGAAAGCAAAGTGGTTCCCAATCTGTGGTATGCGTACCATCATTGGTACACAGACAGCCTGCCAGTGGTACACGTTAACAGATTTATTATAATTACTTTTTATGACAAAAAATGTGCTGGTGGTATTTAAGGTTGAACTGAAAAATATGCTGGTGTACCCAAGGTTGTACCATTTTAAATTAGTGGTGCACAATGTGTCAGAGTTTGGGAACTGCCGAATTACATCAATGTCTGCATTGTTGCCTGTCAGGCCCAGAAGCACATTTGTGACTGCACTTGCAACTTCAGTGGGGCTGTTCATCACAAGAACAGTTATGCTTCTGCTTTGTGGTTTTGGACTATAACATTCAACTTAGGGAGAACTTAATACTAGCTTACAATAGTTCTGCCTTGAAATCAGGGTCAAGGGTGAACTTGTAAACAACTCCTAAGAGGGCAAGTTTATTTTTCATTTATATTATTTATAACATAACTTAATAGCTACAAGTAGTATCCATTGTAGCCGAGAATCTCTAGCACAGTGTAGCAATAAGTAATATCTATCTCAGGAAAATTAAGAATGACGATCTAACAAGAATTCTTCAACTTGTTTCTCTTTTACTTACTGTTTTAGGCTCCTGGAAAGTGTACAGTTAAATAAGATCATTAGTGTTCTTTTTATTCACTTTTTCTACCTACAGTTATTGTTTCAAGCACACAGGGTCACACTGCTAGTCCAATCAAAAAGCTGGTATCCTGAATTGAGCAGCGGCCAATTCTGCATATTCCCCAGTCCCTCCATATCAATAAAACTAGCCAACTATAAAATGTACAATATGGCAAAAAAAAAAGAGAGCTTCCTGACCGCAGTGACAATCAGATAGGGTAAATCTCCATCCTGAAACTATCCAAGCCTTTCTAAATACTTGTGTTATTCTATTAACTACAGGATTTCAATTAGCATGGCAATTTAGCCAGTCCCCCTGTTACATCCAAGTAGAAAAATCCATTTATTTCACATAACTAGGAAGCATATTAGCCAAAAAACCTTTTTTTTTTTATATATAAGTATTTTGAGCATTGACACCTTTTCCGAGTGAAGAGGAGCTGGAATGGAAGAATCTGGATTTTCACACACACAGGGTGCCTTCAGTCAGTTAGATCTCATTAATGGCACAGAACACGAGGGAGCTAAACTGGAGGGAAGGAGAAGTAGAAAAGTTGTGATGAAAAGGAGAAAAAAAAACCCAGAGTTCTGATGCAAAACCCCAAGGGCTTTTAGGAAATTAATCCTTCTCAGCTGACTAGTCATCCCCACCAACAATCCACCAATGCTTCACATGGGATCTCATGACACGGATATGAAAAAGCAACTAAGTTTTAAAACTTTACACTGAATTTTTTTTTGGGTGGGGGGACAGAGGAGAGGAAAGGTAAACAGAAGAGCAGAAGAATTAATTCTATAGGGAATGTGTTTCTCAGAAAACAATTTTTGTTAATAAGTAGAAATATGTAGGCTATGTTTTAAGGCATTTGTTTCTTTTAAAAAAAAAAAAGAAAACAGTTGCTTCAAATGTATTTAGGTAAGAGGCGATAGGCGTTCCTGGTAGTGAACGTACCCAATTGCGGTGGAAAGCAGACCTAAAAAAGAGACTGACTGACATAACATCTCATTGCAAATTAAAATTATATTAAACAGTCTGAATGAGAGACCAACTCTGCAGAATTTCCTTCAAATTATTGCGTCCGAGGACAGGAGTTGTTCCATGTAAAGTGTGGACGAATGTAAATGCTGCCTTTCAAGAAAACTGAAAGCTGTGTAACAGTACTTAGCAGGAGCACTGTATTGCTTGTCATTTCCCTTTGTTTTTCTCTACCTGACAAGTCCGTCTGGGACTTAAAAGGGGGAGTGGAGGAGGAAGAAGTCTAGGCAAGCCTGTCTTTCAGAACTAACTGTCATTAATCCCACATATAACATACACATCATATTTACCAGCATGTTTGTAGCCTTTAAAAGCTTTCTACCTTTAAAACACTACCCCAGACACTAAAATAAAGACAGGGACCTCTCCTTCTCTCCAGAAGCAATAGAAAAGGCTCTCCCCGCTGCTGCAGCACTGCATTAAAAGTGTCATTACCCTTTCGGGCTCCTCAAGTGTGCACAGCACACGTACAGATATCTAAGACTGCTCCTGATAAATAGTGCTTTCTGCCGAGCTCCCGCATAATCCCTTTTGAAATCTGAATCGCCTGTGAATGCTGGCACAAGCCACTTTATTAAGGATTTGGTGCAGCATGCCAAGAGGGACGGTTTTCATAGGAGGTGCATTCCTTCTCCCCCAGAATTGTGACGGCGGAGGCAGAAGAGAACTGGAGGAGAAAGTTGCATTGGCAAAGGAGGGGAATTCGGGAAGTTTTTCAGGAGAAGCCAAAGCCAGCAGGGAAAGAGCAGCTGAGCTGCTCAAGCTGACGCCACTTGAGCTGCTCAAGCTGAACCAGCCCCTAACCCTTTTCTTCAAGGAAAGGAAAGGGAAAAGGAAAAGATTGAGGAACATTTCCCACCCCCAAAGGTCTTTTCTTTTTCCCTGTGTGGAGGTTTGGGGGTGGCTGCACATAAACCTTCTTGAGCTAAGGGGCTACAATGCACTCCGCTTGCGGGGCACTGCAAAGTACATGTGCATGTCTGTGCAAGAGTGAAGGTGGCTGTGCGTGCGCAAGTGTGAATGCCTGTGTGTCTGTCTGGGTGTGTGAGAGAATATGAGCGTCTGTGCGTGTGTGACAGTGAATGTGTGTGTGCCTGAGCGTCTGTAGGTGCGAGTGTGAATGCAAGTGTGACTGTGTGTGCGAGACAGTGTGAATATGCGAGTGTGCGAAGTGTTCATGCGAGAGGGTGCAGGCGCGTGCGCGTGCGAGCAGGTCTCACCTGCTGGGGCGGGGAGCCGAGCAGCATCTCCAGGTAGTAGCCCCGGCCGGCGTCTCCCTGCAGGTTGTCCACCATGGCCCAGAAGTTGAGGGCGGCGGCGGGCTCGGCGGCCAGGGCCAGGCCGGCGGGCGGGGGCGGGGGGGCGCTCGGCGGGGACACCCGCAGCGGC